GGCCGCCTCTGCGCACGCGCGGCCAGGCCCCGCCCCCGCGCCAAGGCACGCGCCCCTGGGGTTGGTCCGCGGGGTGGCTTTACACGCCCCGCCCCAAGCCGGCCTCGCCCAGGGAGCCTGGGCACGCCCCCGAGGGCCGAGGCGCGCGCAGCCGGCCGGAGCAAGACGTGCAACCCCACCGCGACCCCGCGCCCGCCCGGGCCCTTCTGGCTCTCGGGTGCCAGTTCTACCCGTTTTCACTCTAGGTCTCGTCAGGAAAAGAAACGAGCGGACGAAAGTGGCACGAAGAACAAAATAGAAACAGATGCCTCGTGTGAGGATCGAACTCACGACCTTCAGATTATGAGACTGACGCGCTGCCTACTGCGCTAACGAGGCCCCTAGGACGCGGCTCCTCACCGTTGCCCTTGAGAGAGATTGCGCCCTGGAGGTAGCCGCCTAGGCCCCGCCCCTGCATGACAGGTTGATAAGTGAGAACTGCAGGTCTTTGTAGCTCTCCAAATGCAGCACAATCTGCCAAAACTCGCAATAGGACCTACTAACCGTACCCCTCATTATTTCTTTCACTTCCCCCTCTTTTATCATTTTAATCTAAAAACTGATCTTATTACGTGGCAGGGCCCACTGCCTGCCCACCTATGACCTGGGTTGGAGTCTCATCCAGCTGTTCCCCTGCATGCTGTATGCCCAGGTGCTTCTGAAAAGGTCCTAATAACTAACTCATCCCGGTGGATCCCTGAGGGCGGCCAAGTGTCCTATCAGAATTTCACTTCATTTCCTTTGACTTTTCTTAGAAGAGAATTATTTTATTGAACTTTATTTATTTATTTATTTTAATTTGACCAGAGAGGGACAGAGTTAGAGAAAGTGAGAAAGCTAGCCGCCAGGTCGGGACACAATCCAGTCAGCCATGTGGAAGCCCAGCTCCCTTAAACACTACCCACCTGCCAGCTTATTTTAGACCCAATAGTGCCAATACAATTATAAATGTTAGATACTGCTGGACATGGGCTACCTTTCTTTTCCTTTTTCTTTTTTTTTAAGAGGTTTTTGCCATAAGGTGCCAGCGCCTGTTGCAAAGAGAGATAGAAACAGTGAGGGAACCAGCAGTTAGCGTAATGGCTATGTCGCTGGACTCTCATGTAGTCGACCGCTCATGTAGTCGACCGCGGTTCGTGTCCTGGACCCGGTGGCTTAAAACTCACGCCGGGCGCGTGTGCGTGCGTGCCCAAGATCCCGAGAGGAGAATGGAGGAGAAGGGATTGCGGCGTGACCATCCCCCCGGGGGGTGATTTCTCACTTTCTGTCTCTATGTCTCTCTCTGTCTGTCTGGCGAGCGCACGCGCCTTACAGTGAAAAATCTCTCAAAAAAAAAAAAAGAGAGATAGAAACAGTGAGAGGGAAATGAAAAATTACCCCCTACGGCTCTTGGTATGGCCAGTGACAATCCCTTCTCCTCCTGGGATCTTGGGCTCCTGTCTTGGGCCCCCGCACACACTGGACGTGATTTTCAAGTCACCAGGCCTGCAGTCCAGCCACGGTTGGCCATACAGGAGTCCAGGAATGCTGGCCACCTGCCTTTCTTATCTTTCTTTTTTTTTCCTTGAGAGGTTTTTGCTATAGGGCATGTGCACTCGCCCAGAAGACAGACAGAGAGAGACATAGAGACAGAAAGTGAGAAATCACCCCCCGGGGGGATGGTCACGCCGCAATCCCTTCTCCTCCATTCTCCTCTCGGGATCTTGGGCACGCACGCACAGGCGCCTGGCATGAGTTTTAAGCCACCGGGTCCAGGACTAGAACCACAGTGACTACATGGGAGTGCAGCGACATAGCCATTACGCTAACTGTAGGTCTCTGCCTTTCTTATCTTAATGCATTTGCAGACTTTGAGGGTGACCAGAGTAGGCTCCATGTAACCTGACCTGGACTTCTCATGTAGTCAACTGCAGTTTGAGTCCTGAACCTGGTGGCTTAAACTCACCAGAAAGACAGAGACTGAAAGTGAAAAAAGCACATATGCCCTATAGCAAAAGCTCTCAAAAAAAGAACCTTACCACAGAGCCTTAAGTACTGGGCAACTCCTCAGAGTCCATATGGAAGCTAAGGACCCACTGCCCCCCAGAAACTGTTCTGGTAGTGTTGGTTTAGCTAATCAAATAGAAAACTATGCGACCCTTTCAGTTTCTTAGGCCAGGTCTCCACTAATTCCTCACTGTTTTGACCAAGAGACCTCGGAAGTCGAAAAGAGAGCTGTCTACCCCGGTCCACAGAGTCAATATATAAAATAGCAATCCACACATGCCTACATCTTGAACACATCAGCTGTTAAAATACTGAGCTGATCTGCTCCCACGTAAATTCCCGTTTTTCAATCTACCATCCGTGCTATTGTCAGAATGCTCTTCCATCAAATAACAAATAGATGGAAAGCAAAAAGCCCCTCCCAACCTGGCCTCACCTCCTGTCTTCACACACAGCTCTCTCCTGAAGCCATCCGGATGCTTGACCAAAACTAGTCATGCTTGCCTACATTGCTGTGATGCTAAAGCTGTCTCCTCTGCCTAGAACACCACCTCTGTGCTATTAAACCACCAACCCCAGTCTGTGCCATTACATCACCAACACTCCTTCCTCCTTGCCTTCAAAAGACACCCCTGTCTAGGAAGTTCTGCAAAGTATTCCCGGAGCGGAGAATGGTCCCTCTATTATAAAGCCATAACATTTCTTGCAAATACTTGTTTTCTTCCAGTCCAGCCTCACTAGGTATAGTCCCCTGTCACATGAATTAATGAATGTTTACTAACAAGTAAAAGAAAAGCAGAGGGCCAGCTAGGTAACCTAGTGGATGGAGAGGCCGGATCCCACATGGCCAACTACATAGTTGAGTCCTGGACCTGGCAGCTTAAAAAACAATGTGGCTATATGGGCACGTGGGCCCCAAACCCCTAAAAGAGAATGGTGGGGAAGGGACTGTGGCATGGTCATCCCTCCTGGGAGGTGCTTTCTCATTTTCTCTGCCTCCCTCCCTCTCTCTCCCAGTGAGCACAAGTACCCTATAGTAAAATTTTTTTTGAGAGGTTTTTGCTATAGGGTGCGTGCGCTCCCCAGAAAGAGAGACAGAAAGCGAGAAATCACGCCCTGGGGGGATGGCCATGTCGCTATCCCTTCTCCTCCTTTCTCCTCTTGGGATCTTGGGCACGCAAGCACACTCACGCCTGGCATGAGTTTAAAGCCCCAGATCCGGACTTGAACCGCAGTCGGCTACATGGGAGTCCAGCGACATAGCCAGTACGCTAACTGCTGGTCCTGCTCTCTGTCTTTCTGGGGAGCACACGTGCCCTATAGCAAAAACCTCTCCAAAAAAAAGAAAAAAAAAAAAAAGAGGAAGAAGAACAGAACAATTATCAGCAATAGCGATTCAAACTAGGAAGTATCTAAGCAAGTGGTAATGTAGCAACTAATTTAACCAATAAGAATGGCCGACTAGCCTACTAATATGTTCTGTGTGTATCCATAGACTCTAGAAATATAATCCTTGCCACTGCTGTATTTCAGGGTTTTTTATGCTTGTCATAGGGTGTATGTGCTGACTGAAGAGAGACAAAGAGTCCGAGAGAGAGAAAGTAAGAGATCACCTCCCTGGGATCAGGCCCTTCTCATTTCTGGATTTTGAGCACCAGAAGAGCCCAACATTATTTCCAAGCTGCTGTAGTCAATCATGTGGAGTCCAATGCCTTAACCACTATGCCAACTGCTAGCCCTTTGTTTGTTTGTTTTCTAGAGGTTTTTGCCTTAGGGCGCATGCACTCACTGGAGACAGAGGCAGCAAGAGAGAAAATGAGAAATCATCCCAGCGTGGCTGGTCATGCTGCAATTTCCTCTCCATTCTCCTCCCAGGATTTTGAACATCAATGCTCACGTAACCGTAACCGGCATGATTTTCTAGCCACTAGACCATGTGGGAGTCCAACGACATAACCGCTACACCATCTGCTGTCCCCCCTTCGATACTCACCAGCGAGGCCCTATACTAGCAGTTGGGTATAAAAAGATTATGTAGGGGGTCACTGGTGTCATGCTTAAAGGTGCTGGATTCCCACATGGCCAACTGTGGTTCAAGTCCTGGACCTGGCAGCTTGCTTTCTCACTCTTCCTGTTTCTCTCTGGTCAATTTTTGTTTTGTTTTGTTTTGTTTGGAGAGGTTTTTGCTATAGGGCGTGTGCACTTGCCAGACAGACAGAGACAGAAAGCGAGAAATCACCCCCGAGGGGGGATGGCCACGCCGCAATCCCTTCTCCGTTTTCCTCTTGGGATCCTGGGCATGCACACACACACACCTGTTGTGAGTTTTAAGCCACCGGGTCCAGGATACGAACCGCGGTCGACTGCATGAGACTCCAGTGACATAGCCATTACACTAACTGCTGGTCCCTCTCTGGTCAAATTTTTTAAAAATAATAATAATAGGGGCTGGCAGGTAGCATGGTATTTAAGGGCGCTGGACTCCACATGGCTGACCGTGTTTTGAGCCCTGGATCTAGCGGCCTGATTTCTCAATTTCTCTCTCTCTCTCTCTCTCTCTCTGCCATTCTCTGGTCAAATTAAAAGTAAATAAATAAAGTTAAATAAAATAATTATTTAAAAAATAATTAATAAATAAAATAAAGTCTGGGAACCAGCAGTTAGCGTAATGGCTATGTCGCTGGACTCCCACGTAGTCAACCACGGTTCGCGTCCTGGACCCAGTGGCTTAAAACTCACAACAGGTGTGTGTGTGTGCATGCCCAGGATCCCAAGAGGAAAACGGAGAAGGGATTGCGGCGTGGCCATCCCCCCTCGGGGGTGATTTCTCGCTTTCTGTCTCTGTCTGTCTGGCGAACGCATGCGCCCTATAGTGAAAATCTC